CCACCGGAAGAAATAGCCGTGAGCTAACGATGTTGAGCATGAACCCACACCTTTCTATTTATCCATCAGTCACCCCGGGGAGGGATGAAAAATGAGAGATTGAAGAATAGAGAGGTGTAAGTTGAGAGAAAAGTGAGGAAAAGGGTTTTGAGAGAAAATCCGAGCTTGAGAGCCGAGTGATGTGAGAATCACAAATAAGAAGGGGTGGGAAACAATACCCAGATTGAATTGGCTCCTCGCGGTCCGAGGTCCCCCATCTTCGTTTACGCGTCTGTGTGTCGTGTCTCTTTCATTTGACGGTCTCGTCTTTTGTTTTGAGTCTCTCCCAAGCGTGTCTCGTTGTGTTTAGGTCGTGTACCTCTATATTTGAGTCCTCCCCGCTGTGTTCGGTTGTAGGCTCGACATCCCTGTTTGAAAAACCCTCATTCGATTTCAAAAATCGCTTATGCTCAGAATGCTGTGCCATTCTCTACATTTGAACGCATTTCGACTCCAACCAGTTCCATCTTTGAGGTCCGTCCTGTCAGATTGGGCTGCTTGTTTGAGAATTCGCCGTGTGCAGAATGAATCGAATGCTGTGTTATGGGCTGTGTGCAGATCAATCCCCAACAGAGTAAGGGCTGTGTGTTCAAGAATCAGGCAGTGGGTTGCTTGGGTTATTTTGCTGTTGGCTGTTTAAGTTATCTGATTATTACAGTGCAAGTGTTCAATTTTCAGACAACCAATCAATTCCATTTACATTGAGGTGTAACATGATGAGATGCGATGCAATGCATGAAATGTGTAAATGTAAACACTTTTTCAGATAAAAAGTCTATTTCATTTCACCATCTTTTCAAATGTACAAGCTTTGAAAACAAAATCTGCCTGTGGCAGTACAAGGTAATCTATCTACCAACAAAAAGAAAAGTACAAAGAGGAAAAGATAACAAAAATCTGCATCTGTGTCAAGCACTCCGAAGGGCCGTCAGTCTGTCCTGGTCCTCTTCCTGGACGAGGGTCCAGGAGCATCAACAGCGTCGTCATCAGAGCCCGAGCTAGAACCGTCTCCGGTCTCCTCCTCCGATGACCCTGCCTCCGCCTCTGACTCCTCGTCGTCGTCGTCGTCCGGAACTGGAGCTCGCGAGCTACTCCCGACGTGAGTCCGCCCTCCCCTAGTGCGGGGAAATATCCTGCCCTCCTCGTCTCTCCCCCGAGTAGGGACAGAAGGTCTAGCTGGAGCACCTCCTGCCATAGGAATCTGGAAAGGAGGCTGAAAAAGTACACAAAAGTGAAATGTATCAGTATACTGTAGACAGTTTATCAGTGCAGAATGCAACGTCGAGTACAGTGTATGAATGCCGTGAGCAGTTTAGCAATGCAGAATGCAGTGTGTGAATACAGTGTATGAATGCCATGAGCAGTTTGTCAGTATAGAGTACAGTGCAGAATGCAGTGTATGCAGTGTATCAGATGCTGTGAGATCAGTGTATCAGGTGTTGTGCCGTGCGTCAGATTATGCAAAGCAGAGTATGAATGGTTTGAGGCCAGTGTCAGAGGACCGGTATGCTGTAGACAGCCAGAAGGTCAAATGTCCGCTGGAGCATCCCCATCATCGAGGCATTCATCGCCAACGACTGACGGGTGTACTCAGAAGAAGCCTGCAAAAGTATCAGATGCATCAGTATTCTGTGGAATATCAAGTAAACTGAAATGAAATGACTGTACGAAGTGCAGTAATACATACCGGCGGAAGGTCGGGGATGTCAATGAACTCATGCCCAGCCGGTGGAGGGGCGAAGGGGATCTGATAGGTCGACCCACCCTGCCCCTGGAAAGTCAGCACAGCGGGCAGGGCAGGCCACCCAGCTCCTCGTCCTCCCCGCGCTCCACCCCTACCACGGACCCGGGCCCTCCTCGAAGATCCAGC